ACACACACACACACACACACACACACACACACTATCCATCTCCCTCCCTCCCCCTCTTCTCTCTCACACACGCACACAAAAACAACAAGAGCAAACCGGAGGAAAGAGAGAATAATAGAAGAAGGAAACGACTGCATAGACCCTTAGAGTTTCCCTGGTCACATGTGGCTTGCAGGTAGGTTAGTAGCTTGGGCTGTACGTTATACAGGTAGTTTCAAGATAGGTTGCGCACTGGGTCTCGAATCACAGGCATTGATTCTCTCTGTCATTCACCCTGTACTATGTCACCCTGGACCGTGCACACTGCAACAAGAGGTGGTCTTGAGCCCCCTCCTCCACTGAGACGAAAAGCTTGAAAAAGACAGTCGACGAGAAGTCTTTGGCAAGCTCTCACCTTGTCACACATTCACATACTTCCCCCAAGGATTTGCGGATCCAACTGTAACCCTGAAAAGTACTCGGCCCACGCAGAAAAGGTTTTTTAAGGGTAGGCGACTCTTTAAGACGCCGAGGACCGGCTGCATGCTTTACATTGTTAGCCATTACCAACAACTGCAGTCTTATTCTCTCCACTGAAAAACAATTTGTTGATACTTATTGCTTACGCAGCTGCCAAGTGCTTTCTTTCACAGAGTTATTTTATTCTACCAGGATTCGAACTCAGGTCTGTTTATCGACAGTTATGTGTTTAGTACTGTGTACCATTCAGCCATATGGGCTGGGTACAGCTGCCAAATGCTACATCCCAGTTCAATTCACATGAAGAAGACTGAAAATTTTATCCAAGTTCGCCTTCAACTCTTGTGCAACAAAAATGAGTGACATAAGAAAAAGGTTCAAAAACCAGACAGATACGACTTTGTGACCGTCCATTATAAATGGGTAAGTTGGCAGCACACTGTGGAGATGGAGAAAAAGGGCAAGGCTCCAAAGCAGAGTACCCTACGAACACGCTTGAGGCAGAGGACACATACCTTGACTTCTCATTACTCGGCTCGATTTCAAGAGAAGACTCCTTGACCGTTCCAACAGCTACAAGAACGGTTTCCGGACTGGGAGTCCAAAGCTGCATGCACAGCGCCCTCTCTCCTTTCTTCAGCTGGAAGGAGCATAGAACTGACCCGCTGGCTGGATCGATGCCTCGGATCTCAAACTGCTGAGTACGAGAATTACCCTTGCCACAGGAGCAGATGACAAGCAATAGCCTTGATGGTGGGTGATAAACGAGTCGCCAAGGGGTGTCGCCGAGCATCAGCTTCTGCGCATACATGTGCTTCGTCTGACCGACTGCCACCTGCTCTAAATAAAACACGAAGAAAACAAAATCCAACCACATCAGCTCCATCTGAAGGAACATCAAAAGCCAATCCTTGCTGCCTGTAGATTCAGGCAACTGCTCAACAGGTCATCTCAATTTCCCGAGGGGGCGTCGCCCAGCATCAGTCTCTGCGCATACATGTGCTTCATCTGACCGACTGACAAAAAAACCAAACCCGACCACATAATCTCCATCTGAAGGAACATCAAAAGCCAATCCTTGCTCCCTGTAGACTGACGCAACTGCTCAACAGGTCATATCAATTTGTTCGGGGGCGGTCGCCCAGCATCAGTTTCTGGGAGTTTTGCACAAGCCAAATGGAAAAGAAATCCCAACTTAAGCCTGAAAAACACGTCAAAGAGGCAACGGGGGTTTCAGGGGTTATAGGCAGTATTTAGTGGGGGGTGAACGATTTACTAAAAAATTTACTTGCATTAACATTCGTTAAATTAATAAATTATTAGATTAGATTTTATTATCATTTTAATAAGGCATTTGTTTTTCTTTTTGGTTTTCTTCGGTTCTGTTTAGAAGGGTTTTTTTTTTTTTTTTTTTTTTTTTTTTTTTTTTTTTTTTTTTTTTTGAAGAGCCCCCTTTCTCTATTTCTGTGTCATCCTTGAGCAGGGGCCACAGCCGCCACACTGATCTTCTCTGTATTGTTCCAGTTTCAACTGATGTCCTGAAGGACATTTTTGGAGATGACCCTCTGCAGAATTGCTGGGATCTTTTTTTTTTTTTGCATTGATTTTTTAAGGTTGCTTGGATTTGTATGATCCACAACATATTCTTAATGCCTCAGGAGGTGCCCATAGTACTCAACTACTCATCCATTGGGAGGTCAGATGGATTGCGAGGACCCAGGGCGATAGAGTCACCTCAAGATGGCACCATAGTGCCATGACCTATGCTAATGCTCAGATCGCAAGTCGTGATCTGTGCCAGCGCTTACCGGACTAACCTGAACGTCTTTCTTTTTTTTGTTGGACCATTTCTTGATTTATGCGTGTCATCCTTGCGCAGGGGCCATGCTAATCTTCTCTGTATCGTTCCAATTTTAACGGATGTCCCGAAGGACACGTGCAGACACTACCCTAACTCTAATCATGAGTCGAATGTTGACGACGACCCAGGCACAGGTGGGGTCCATGCATCTTTTTTCTTTCTTCAAATTTACATCTCAAGCCAAAAAACATCCACTAATAAACCATCATCCTTGAAGCTTTGCGGGGAGGCAAGTGATTGCCTTCCACATGATTCTCTTTTTTTTCCCCCACATGATATTGTTTTCTGAATTTTTAAAATTTCCTCATTTATTAGCCATTTTGCATCAGGGTGAACATACCAATCTGTCCGGACAGATTTGGGTTATGGACATCGCAGACTGATGGGAGAGACCCACACATCCCTGCTGGTAGTCTAGATACGTTCCATATTACAGACGACTTAACACTCCTCGTAGAACTCACCAGATGAAGAGCTCGATCGGCGGCAAAGATAAGGCCCTCAGGACACTCAGCGAAACTGACAGGTGCCGCATGCGTTGATGGACAAAATGCAATTGACGTGTACGAAACTCTTTGGCTGTGTCGAGCCGCCTGCAACAGCCATGGCCTGTCATTCAGAGCCACAACATCTGACCTGACCATTGGTCGTAAGGGCACAAGTGCAACAGGTGACATTCCAATACGGCGCATCAGAGCGAGACGGAGCACCACAACCGACTTTGAAGGCACCACATCGTCTCCTTTCCCGTCAAGAACCACCGGGCCTCCAGACTCCGACTGTCTGATGCCTTCTCTCCCAAATGATGCATTCTCTGATGCCTCACACCAGAGCTCTGAGGCTTCTCCAGTTCCCAGAGAAACATTGGATGCTAGCCCTCTTTCGGACATGCACATGTTTGCCAACTGACTACCGCCATCATCTGGCCGGTTTTGGTCGCCGGCCTCAGTTCGAGAGAAGTAGGCAGGGGGGAAGTAAGCGGTTGAGGAGGGGACATCCCGGGACGCAGGTTGAACAACAACAGAGGGCATAACTGGAGACGGCCACTCGTAGTGAAGAAGCATGCCATTCCGAAGGCCCACAAGAACATATAACTTGTCAAATTGCACAAGACGAATGCTTTCCGGGACAAACCCACCGAGTCCCACACCGGATGGCACATTCGATACCAACGGCGCGACACCCACGGTTGGAAGGTTCTTCCCCGGCTCAAGCGATAACACCTCCACTGTTGGCTCATATGTCCCAACAAGGCAAACCTGGCGTGCATCGTATCGGACGGGTCCATAGAGTTCCGTTGGAACAGCGGGGCCGCCACCTGGTGCCACAGCTGATGCTGGTATCTCCTCCCAGGGAATTGATATACAAGAGAGTTCCGCCGCTATCCTTCGACGCTCGGTCGGAACGAGTTCCCTCGAGCCAGCAGCGGTTACCATAACTCGAAGAACGATCAGCTCGCCAAGCGGACAAGAGCTGGCGACAACCACCACACCGCCGCCCACAGCCCCCATACTAATTCCCGCGCTTTGTGGTGAAGACCACGTCACAACAGTAGGCATGGGCAGTCCCTCGTTTGAGTCGATGGCTAGGGAATCGGCAGCAGGAGCACAGATGCAAACCCCATTGGGGCAAACCTGAGCTAACCAACCATCCTCAATGCGTCCACATGCCAGGGTCTGCTCACCAGGACAAAAACCCACAGCGTCTGTGTTGTCCTCAAAACTCAGCCCTATTTTCATGACTCGCGTATCTTTGACGAAGGACATCACCAAGAAGGAATGGTACTCGTCCCTCGCATTCATCTTTAGAGACCACATGCCAACGATTCCATCGTAAACTGCCGGAGTTGTCATCAACCGGTCAACGCTCCATCCATTCCGTATCATCCGAAGGGAGCCCTCTTTCCCAAACCCGCAACATGCAAACATCTGGTCTTGTCTCTCGCCATAGAAATCAATCAACTGGAAATCCAGAACAGGTGATAAATTCTGAACCACCGCTTCCTCCAATAAGCTAGTACCTCCAGATACCCCCCGGACACGCAAGACATGCCCATCACCCATGTGCTCTAGGACGACAATCAAGTCCCTTTCCGCCCAAAGCAAGGCTGACGACCCGTTCTCCACAAGATAGCCACAGTCTTTGACAACGATTTCAATGTCTGAACATCCTTCTCCCTCCACCACGACGTCCGTTCTCCCATCCCCGCACGAACCTGCTCTACCTCCTTTTTTTACAGCCATTTCGACCATGTAAAGGCCTCCGGCGCAGATGCACAAATGTGGCCAAGTGCTCTCGGGTCGCAGTGCATCTTGATCCTCCATGCATGAATCAAAACCGCCTTCCAGTGCATGTTCACTCTCATCGTGCTGGTGATGATTACCCCATTCTTCACCATCTTGCTGGCGAAGCGGCTCCCAAGACCATGCTGAAATGAGCACAGCATCCACGCAGCTGGCCCCAGCCTTTCGCGCACTACCCATATCATTGTCCTCGGAGTCTACCATTTCCTCCCACGATTCCACGACTCCTTCGCACTCTGCAGGCCCATTGTTGGTCTCAAGAGGTGAATCCTGAGAAGCAACGCCTCTTAAAGCATGGCTTTTACATCTGCGTGCCTCCTCCTTCGTGCTGTCACCATCCGCTTTTCCACCACGTCTTCCAGGTGCTGCACCTGCCTGCGATGCGGCCGTCGCCATCCGCGAACTACGTGGCTTTGAGGCATCGGCACGTGAAAAGTCAGGAGAGCAACCAGCAAGCGTCTCCTCCTTTGAATTTTTGTCACCCCCTTTTCCACCACGCCTCCCAGGAGCCGCGCCTGGCAGCGCCGCAACTGCAACCACCTTTGAGCTGCGGGGCTGCGAGGCATCGACAAGGACAAGGTCGGAAGACCGAGCGACAAGCACCCCTCCCACCATCCCGGGCACGCCCGTTAGCTGGAGTGGTGAAAATGACACTTCATCGCCAGGCAAACTCACCACAGCTGCCAACTGAAGACCAAAGCCGGGTCGGTTCGGGGCCAAGCCACATGTAAATATGACTACCTTACTACCTGCATCGCCTTGTCTGGTGCACACGCATTCCCGAAAACATCATCTCACCCAGTTAACATAAACACACAAGGCCCAACAAAAAAGAGTGCAAATGGAGCGCAAACCAAGCGAAACTAAAAAGAAAAGGTGAAGATGAAGAGCAGATAAACTGCAAAGACTACCGTCTTCCCCCGAATACAACATACGGCCATTATAGCTATATTTGGGGCATCTTCGAGTCTAGATACAGCAATAATGACCATACGTCGTATTCAGGTGAAGACGGCAGAGCAGGTACAATGCAGATATAGACGCAAATAAATGGAAGGAAGATAGAAAAGAGGTTCAAAACATAGGAAAACCGGAAGTAGAACGGGGCCATAGCTGCAACTAAATCACCAGATCCCTGGTTCATATTCCAATTTCCAACCAATCTTGAGAACAGAGTACCTGTCGATGGTTAGGTTGAGGATAAATCTTATCGACTGTCAAGTCGTCAACACCGGAACTGTCGACATAAGAGGCATTCATTCATCATTGTCACAGGAAGAAGGTGCAGATCCCTTTTGCTAAAAAACTGCGCAAAAGGTGCTCTCACCATTGGACCTAGATGTGAGACTGTTTTAATTCCTGCCAGCACAAAGCATACACGTTAGACTTCTCAATCCTACCGTCTTCAACCGAATAGAAAGCCCAGTCATTATAGCCGAACTAGGGCCAACATTCAGTCTGGATACAGCCATAATGACCGGGCATTCTATTCGGGTGAAGACGGTATTGGGTCAGGCACTTCCGAACTTCACCAAGCCAGCAGACGAGAGAGTATGGCGGAGCAGCATGCGTGCCAGTGGCAGGCGGCCAGATGGCCGAGGACGGAAACCAGTTGCCTTAAACCACTAGTACCTTTGCCGCGTGGGAAAATAACGGGCCTCGGGTGGGCCTCCGACCTTGTCGAAACGAAGCGACGACCACCGATCAGATTTATCAATGGCAGCCGTCGTCAGGCCCAGCCTCCAAATTTCTAGGAGTTTGGGAAAATTGCCACTTTTCCCTATTTTCCCAACACTGGCGGAGGTACTAGTGGTTTAAAGAAGAACTCAGCTAGCTCTAGGGATGCCACTTCATTATACGATGGAGGTGTTGTTTTACCTCGCAAACTTTGGAAGTACCACAGCAGACAGATTACAGTGTGAGCCATCAAACTCTCATTCACATACTGCACAAAATTATGGTGTTCTTTGCTTTTTTTTTTAATTCGCATTTCACTGCACTCTTCATCATTGCAAGGGCCAAGATATTTGTTTGCTGAGAATTAAAAGTTTGAATTAATTTCTCGACTTAACGCGTGTCATTCTTGGGCAGGGGCCAATGCAAATCTTCTCTGCATCGTTCCAATTTTAACGGATGTCGCGAAGGACTGCACAAAATTATCAAAAACTGACAAAAAGTACACTTGCCTCTCTCTTCATTCCCTCCTGCAGGAGACGTTTCCGAATTCGTGAAATATTCATAACGCTTCGCATGCAACTCGAAACATTATCCTCACAACTGCACATGCCATTAAGCATTCTGCTATCTTCTCTTTTCCGAGGAATCGGGAAGGGAAGGAAGGGGGGGGGGGGGGGGGGGGGGGGGGGGGGGGAGTCTATGGCAGCCCGACTTTGGTCACAAAAAGTTTCGAAGAAAGGGATGCAAAAGTAGCTACATGTCATTATTAAACCAAGAAGGACGGAGGATCTTGTCACCAATCATACCAGTGCAACACGATAAACAGAATTTAGCTCGACGTAAACCAAAAAAGGAGGCGTTGTAAACCGTGGTCTGGAATCCAAGGACTTCAACTTGTAACACTTCCCCTGGCCTCCTCCTCCTAACTGAAAACTTCATAGTCTTACATCCCATTCCCCTTCGAGGCATCTCCGGTATACATCACCAAGCATGAAGCTGGTGCTTGCTGAGGTGAAGCTACCGTCTTCACCGGAATAGAGCGCCTGGTAGTCATCTCCGGATCAGACTGAAAGTTGCCCCAAACACAGCCATAACAACTGGGGCATTCTATTTGGGCGAAGACGGCAGGCTGAACAGATGGGTGGAATTGCAGTTGCCAGATCTCTCCATGCATAGATTACGGTAAGCTGAACAGATGAGTGGAAGCACAGTTACCAGATCTTCCCATGCATCTAGACTGAAATTTGTTCCCAATACAGATATAATGACCGGGCATTATAGATATCGCAATGCAAAGGTGGACAATAAGCAACTAGCGTCGATAAGGTCAGCAAGTCTCTGCAAGAACACACGAGTAGCCCTGTGAATAGAACCAGCCTAAGGTTGCTGCGCAGCAACCTAACCTATGTGTTTTAGGAATTTTGTGTAGGAAGCAAGGCCGACCTTCGGTTTATCTGGTTGCAACACGGACCAGATAAACCAAAAAGATCATCCCTGCTTCCTATGCAAAATGCCCAAGCAGGGTCTGATGTGCAAAGAGTGAAACAAAAAGTGTCGCCACCCGTCAGGGTCCACGCTAAGCCGCCGGCTTAATGTTCATTCCCCTCTTCGGTATGCCTTATCTTAGGAAAAGTTAGGATCATTTTTTTATGACTGGTGAAATGGCAATTCAGCAATGTACTCATTTCCTCGGAGTGGGAATGCGCACACGAGGTGGTGACTCTCGCACTCTAAGCTGGGGCTTGAGCTTGCCTCGTAACAATCTGGAGTTATGGGCGTGTTCCGTCAGGCCAATAGCCAGGTGATGTGCACGAGAGGTATTGACTCCCGTACTATAACCAGGGTTCGACATCACCTATCAATCCGGAGGTGTGGCTGTATACCGTTGGGCTAGCAGCAAGCCATGGGTCGACATCACTTATCGATCTGGAGCTGTGGCTGTGTACTGTCGGGCTCACAGCGAAGCAAGTACAGGACAGTGTGGCAATCCGGAACACGGTCTCAAGAGAGAACCTTTGCATCCATCCACCCATCCATCGGTCTGTCCATCCATCAAAAAGAGAGGTTGGGAAACATTTATATGAACAGAAAAAAAAAAAAAAGAAACATAAACGCCAGCAGTTGGCAAGAAGGTCTTTATTACCCATTTACCTGTACACTACAGCTGCAAGTGTGAGACATCCTCTTTCATCTTCAGAGCTTCCTCCCCCAGAGCAATCCGCTTCTTGTTCGTTATGCGTCTCCACAAACGATAGACTCCACACACAGCCCAACACGTCCGGCTTGAGACTTTTCACAGGGACTCCGCGCCAAACATACTCTCGCTGTGGATACTCGATCCCATCTTCCTATAGTCAGACAAAGCCAGATGACGGTCGCAGGCACATTAAATAGTCAATTTTGTTTTTCTTCTTTTCTATTCGTTTAGGGAGGGGCTATAGACTCCAGTGTTAGTTTTCATCAACAATAGTTCTCAATTTCATCCTCCTACAGCCACACAAAACCAGACATCGGCGCAAACATACAACAACCTTTTTTTCTTTTCTCATGAAAAAAAGAGGGGGGATGGACTACAGAACTCTTGTCTTGTTCATGAAACCATGAAACCAGGCCCTAACATTACCGCATCCATACGGATTTGAACTCATGATCTGGCTTCTTCCATTCGACCGCAACGCAGGTACTGAAACATACAGATTATTTTTAAGAGGGGCAACTTTATGTGAGGATTGAGCCCTCAACGGGGCCTTGCCGGCATGCATATGTCCTGGGCATAGGCCCCCAGCAAGCCTCGTGCCCGCCCTAAGTGAAGGCGGGCCAGAATATCCACGAGAGACCTTCATTCAGCATTTCACAAAGTGGGTATCAGACAGTTGCCGCACGACAGTTGGTTGGAGTGCATCGTGAGCCTCAGACTCCTGCAAAGGCAGTTGAGCCCAGGGCCTCGGTTGGTTGAGCCGTGGGCGACAGTCTGGGAGGCCGACACATCACACATTGGTCCCTGGCCTCAGAAAAGCAGTATTTCGTCGTCGAGGCGGAGGAACCCAATGGGAAACCGGTACAGGGCCTGAATCTGGACAACGGCCCTAGCATAAGGGGCGCAACTGTATTACCTGGGCCCCATCTGCATTGGGCCTGGGTACAGGTACTGGGGCCCAGGCGCAGGCTCAAGGCAGACCACCCACACGCAACACTGGCATATAGGCAGAACAGGCGAGTGGGCAGGGATCTTGGCCATTGCGAGCAATGCCGGCACGCTGAAGCATTGTGAGGTGCTGCGCTGTGCTAGGCTGAGAGCAGGCAGGCTGGCGCTAAGCGGTAGGGCGCAGCCTGGGCGCAGGGCGCTGGCGGCCATAGCCGGGCTGCATGAGGGCGCTGGAGGAGGTGAGGGCAAAGGTGGTTCTTCGGAAGGTGAAGGGCGCTGTGTGGGATAACAAGGGAGAGTGAGGGTGAAGAGAGAGTGACGTACCTGGTGAAGAGGAGGTCGGCATTGGTGTTGACGTCATTACTAGCTGGTCGTCAAGTCGTCTGGTTGCTTCCATGACTGTAGTTGTAGGATAGGCTGTAGAGTAGATAGGGCGCCTGGCGCCATTCAAGAGAGAGGGCTACTTCGGGTTATGTTGTTGGTGTTGCCCGATTGGGCTTGGACATTGACTCACGACTTTTGCTGTATCATTCTCACTAGATGACCTGTTGCGGCTTCGATCGCAAAAACAGATATGATGGGTGATGCATTCATGGTTGTGGCATGCCTTTAACCCCCTCCCCACACGCCTTCTCCTAACCCTCCCC